TATATATATATATATATATATATATAAAATCTGCAATATGTATATATATCATTTAAGGAACCAATAGCACAACGGTTGATTTACAGGCGAGTAGGCGATATGTTGATGCTGTGGGACACATTAGCGTTTACACAACAAATGTATGTTTTCGACTACATCCAAATTTTGAATCACATTTACCCCAGCATTTGTTTCTGACCACTTGTGACTGGTTCACTCAAGATGGGTGTTCATACGAGGACTAAACGGTTTACTCACCCTGCGGCCGAGGATCTGGTTGATGGCAGCGCTTTCTTTCAGCGTGCACTCGGCCACCACTTTGGCCCTCATCTCTTTCATATAGAGCATGAAGGCGTTTAGGGGCTTCTTTATGTGAGGTTTTTTGTCCTCCTCCTTCTTAGTCGAGACTGGAGACTTTCTGCAAACACACACGACAGGTGGGTCAGCCTTTGTACCGGATGTGTGTGTTTGTGTGTGTGTGTGTGTGTGTGTGAAGGAGTGACGTGAGAAAAAAGGATATGGAGGAGTGCGTGTATAAAGGTGGCAAACTGGTAGACAACACTGATAAATGTATTTTCTCCAAAATATCACTAAGTGGAGGTGAAAGTGTGAAGCTAATGCTATTAGCCACTAGTAATAAAACAGGATACCTGTCAGTTTCCAAAAAGCTATAAGAAAACATAAACAGGAGGGAAGTGTGTTGTATGCGTGTGCTTACGTATTAGCTGCTGGGCTGAGTTCTCCATTGGGCTCTTGTTTAATAGCCACTGAGACGATGGCTGGGTGAGGGATGCCTGTCTGATGAAGGCCGTGATGATGATGAGGAACGATATGAGGAGAAAAGTGACTGGACACCAAACTGCAAAGAAAGAAAGTGGCAAATAAGCATTACTGCCTTCTGAATCCAAGAAAACAAATCTTCGCCCTCCCATCTTACAGGATTTTGGACTTTGCTAGACTTGAATCTGCATTTCCTACGTGAGCACCAAGGCTCAATGTGTGCGAACCACTAAACCATCACTCCGACTATATTTACACCTGTTCAGCTTGCACACCTTGACCTTTAACCCTGAAAGGGACAGTTCACCCAAAAATGAAATATTTGTCACACGTCTGATGCACGTCGAAGATGGACACAGAAGAGAAGAAATAGTTGAATTAAGCCGTTATTTTTGTTTTTGCGCAGTTGAACCACTGAAGTCACATGGACTATTTTAACGATGTCCTGACCAGTGTTGGGAGTAACGCATTACAAAAGTAATAATATTACAGTAGTATATTACTTTTTGCTGTAACGCAGTAATATAACGCATTACTAATCAAATTTGGGTAATATTATTACTCGTTACAATCTCAGTAACGCAAGTTACAACAACATATTTTAACTCAAAATTAAGTGGTGAATTTACCAACACCGCAAAACAGCACCAGAGAAAAAAATCCCGCGGGTAAAATAGTTTGTCTATTTCCTGTTGCTACCTTTCTGGGTCTTGAACGTGTCAGTTGTGTTGCTGTCTATGAATGGTCAGAAAGCTCTCGGATTTCATCAAAAATATCTTCATTTGTGTTCCGAAGATGAACGAAGATCTTACGGGTTTGGAACAACTTGAGGGCGAGTAATTAATGACAGAATTACTATGACTCAAACATCCCATAATAATACTCAAAACTCAATGATAGGTCTTAAAGAATGACCCAAAAATGAGTTATTATTTACTCACCCTCAACCTGTATAAGTTTCTTTCTTCTGCAGCACATAAAATAAGATATTTTGTTGAATGTTGGTAACCGAACCTTCACTGGTACCCATTGACTTTTATAGCATGGAAACGAATACTATGGAAGTCCAGACCAGAAACTGTTTGGTTACCAACATTGTTCAAAACATTTCTTCTGTTTTTAGCAGACGAAGGAAACAACCTGAGGGTGAGTAAATGACAGAATTTTCATTTTTGGGTGAACTATGCCGTGTCTAGACTAAAGCACACTCCTATTTCTATTCATATGTCATATTCAGTCCAAATAAAGTACCAGCTGAAAAGCTCCTTTATCCGCTCCTGTTACAGGTGAAGTACGGGGTTACTGTGGTAACGCAAAAAGCGCGACACTCCAGACCAAAATTCCAAGGAAACCACTTCCTACAACCGGCTGAATGGGACACGGTTCTGATCCCAGCGCCTAGGGCTTCTACTGAGGTGAACGCACAATGAAGGCCTGTCATCAGCCAGAACCAGAAAAAGTGACCAGTGTTCCCCCCTTCCTCTTTGACTCTTTTATTAAATGAAAAGAAAAACCCCTCTTAATTTCAGTTGGCGTAGGCACAAAGATACCAAGAAGAGACTTCATTAGCATGAGCTTCTGCAGACTAAAAGCAGTCTCACCTCAAAAGGAGAATTTAGACTGAAAGTATGAATTTCAGTAGAAATCCATGTGATCGTGTGGGTTTGAAAGCGATTTCTGTGTGAGCTGTGCTTCATATATTTCTACACTATTGGCAATATACAATGGATCTTTTTTGCTTGTGAAATTTCAGTAATGTTAAATCATATGGCTGTCTTTACTATAAAGCAGATATTGCTTTTCAATTCAGGACCAAATGGAAGGAGGGGTCAAATCAAACACACTCGATACGTCTATTCTCAAAGTAACTACAGAAAGTGTAGTCCTTCTGTATCACACAAATACCAATGGAGAAACGAGCAGGGCTGGGCTTGCACTCGCTTGTACTGACAATGGTTGTAAAGGTCTGGAGGAGGACGGACTATTGATCACTATCAACTCTGTATGAATAATTCAAGAATCCCTAACACGCACAACACAACAAGAGAAGCTCAGTACAGATCATTCTTATTTAATCCAGTGCTACCACTAAACAACGAGCAGTTCTTGTTGATTCAGATCTATTTCATCTTGAGTGTGTACAATTGTGAAATAAACTCTTCCAAGCAGGTTTATTGGTTTGGAAACAGCAGAGTTAAATGGTGCTGCTGAAGTACAGAGGTATAATGGAAGACTACAGTAAATGTTAAAAGAAGAATCCCCTGTTAAGGTTACACAACCATCCAAAAGAGGAAAAATTAAGAAAAACATGGATTACGGCAGATGTAATAATTAACATACTGCATTTCTCACAACACTTAAAAATAACACTACAGATTCCTTCATTCAACAAACTAGCAAACAAAAATTAAATGGTTACTCTTTATTTTTAGGTGACATTGTTACAGTGTAATTACACAAATACGTACTAATATTAATGACGTAAATGTACTTACTATAAGGATAAGGTTAGGGTTTGTTTTAGGGTTACTTGCTTGTAATTATGCATAATTTATTATTATTACTATAGTAAGTACATGTAACCGTGTGTAACACCTTAAAAATACAGTGTTACCTAATTGAACATTTATCACTCAAAGCAATTTGTACTTGTTTTCAGGTTTCACCATTTTAATTTTGTATGTTGCTAATGCTAATTCAGGGTTGGGTTAAACTATATTTTAAGGTGTCCTTGTTACAGTGTAATTATACATTTAAGTACTGAGTAATATTAAGTAACTACATGTACTTACTATATGGTTAAGATTAGGATTTGGGTTTGGTTTAGGGTTACTTGCATGTAATTGTGCATAATGTATTGTTACTATAATAGTAAGTACATGTAACGTGTAACAAGGACACCGTAAAATAAAGTGTAACACTTTTGTAAACTCCTTCAAAAAACTTTGACTGTCTGTTTGGGTTTTTTTGTGAACGACAATGAATTGACAACTCGCCGCATGTATTTTCTAAACGCATGTTATTAATCTTACTGTAAACAATTAACCTGCACTTATCTTTTATTTATTGGACCTTGTAATATAACTATTTTGTCCAGCCAGCTTACTTTATCGACCTCTGTTTTTGTATGAAACGTCTACAATCTCAAATTCCAATCAACAACCGATGCATAAAACAATCAAAACCACTTTTTTTTGATAATTTGTTACACTTGGATGTACATCACAACCGAGAATAAAAGATCTGTCGCTACTTCCATGTCATCGCAACCTTATTGCTAGGGTAATATAACCTTTAAATAACTTAATTGAAAAAAATAAAAGGTGTACTAAATTTAAATGGAAATACATCAACAAACTCTGTGAAAAGAGTCCATGCGTTATGGGAGAATCAATCTGCAAAACACACAACTCACCTGGACATGGATGCGTTCATGGCAAGAGCTGGGTAAGGGTGACGGAAACCCCCGGCGGTGATGGGATACATGGGTTGACCCTGCCTGAGATGCACAGAGAGAGAGAGACAGTGAATCAGAGAGAATCCGTATGAATCAGGGTGTGAGGATAGTATCTATTAGGATTGTGGGATACTCACTGTGGGACGAGCCACCCTAATGGGTGAGGGATCTGCCCCATGGCCCCAGGGGAAAGGGGGTAGTAGGGGGACAGCTCTGAGGGGTGAGGGGTCCGAGGAATACCTGAACCAGTGGTACACAGTCAGTCACGACGGAGGACAAAAATGTGAAAATGAAAAATTCACTTAAAATGCATTTCAGTTAAAAATGTGTAAGTAGAGTGTGCAGTACCTGTCTTTGGGTCCAGGATCTCCGGTGAGAGGTGGGCTGGTGGAGTTCCTGGAGAAAAGTGTTCATTGCTGTAGGTGATGAGGGGGGTCAGGGGGTGCATGTGAGCATGCTGGACCACCGGGACCTTATTAGACTGAAAGAAAGAACGAGAGCGGGTCAGGTCCAGACTCAAAAGATAGGAAATCAAAACGGACCCTTTTTATCAGCATTAAGAATTACTTAAGAATTACTATTGCTTCCACGTAGGGTTAGTGAGTTGAACAGTTTGAAATGGGAATAATTATAGCAAATAATTCAATAATTCAAAACTAAGTAATTCTATGGAGTGCAAAAGTAGAGGTCAACCGATGTATCGGTTTTGCCGATTAATCGGCACCGATAGTTGATTGCTGGAACTATCGGTTATCGGCAAAAATCCATGCCGATAGTTAGACACGTGATACTGCATGCTGAACAGAGCGGGAAACTTCAGACGCGGATTTAAATGCAGCCAATAGAAAATCCTGTCGCGCCACAGAGCGCAATTCACATAGTTCTCCATTACAATTACATTATATTTGTCCTGAATCGTTGTTAATGTACATAATGAATTGTGTATTGTGCATTGTCAGCGAAACGTTTGTCTTTCTGTGGCTCTAATAAAGTCTGTATGCTTCATTTTTAGAGCTATAATATCGATTGCGCTTTCTCTTTCTGTTTGCTCTGTTTTTTAAACACCGAACTTCAAACTCATTTATGCCACATTGTTCATTCTTGAAGTAAACTTGTGTCCATTTGGTGATTAAATAAACTGTTTTAGACCGCTGCTCGAGTTGAACGCGACGCGTCCGGAGTGTGTGTGATACCGGTGAGTTCTCCTAGACTCAGCGCTGCGCTTTTATTTTGATTAGATAATCATCAAGTGTTCAAGAATAGAAGCAGTTAAAGTGTGAGAGTATACATACAATATCCATATGTATATAATTTTAATGCTATGGCCTTTGTGTATATATTTAAAGATGTGCATCTTTAAGCATGACAGTTGAAATGAAATGGTAACAATTTAAAATGAGTCCATTTGCAGCATTAAGATTAATGAAAGCTGTGTAAGTATTGTTCCTTGTTAGAGTGTGTTAATTTCAACATTTACTATTA